AGGGATGCACATCCTGGATTCTATGAAATTTGAGAGCGGCCGCAGTATGGGTAGTCGGTTAAAAGAACCGTCGAGTGACGCCGAGCAACTCCTGAGCGCCGAGTGAAAACGAGTGACGCCAGGTGGCGACGCCATTGCAGTGTTTTGGCTCGTCTTCGCATGTCTTAGCTCGTCTTCCGCACGACCGCGCCAGACGCAATCAACAAATTAGCTCACTGAAACTCAAACATGTTCCAAGTACAAGGCGTAGAGCTCAAGCTTTGCAGAAAATCATGCCACATTGCTAACAACATTTCTGTCAGTGGAGATGATAGTTACTGCGAGACCTATCAAACTGGCCCTGCCCCGCCTTGATGCCCGGGCTCTCGGGCAATCTCCACAGTCACGTTAGCATCGTTTCCCTGGAGCACCTGGCCACAAGATAAAAGCGTGACTTGCAGGCAATGATTTGTACCCGCAAAAACGCCAAACTTGACGTCATTGCCGACGCATTCTCTGATGTTTCATACTCACAAAAAGTGTTCATCTATAACTGCGCATCTATAACTGCGGGCCCTTCAAAGTCATTTTTTGCGTTTAGGCTCCTTCTCTAACGTCCAGCTTTTCAGGTGTGGTATATCTTTGCATGGCTTGTGGGCGTTTTGTTCCAATGTCCTCTCAGACGGGGCAAACACCGAAACTTGGTTTTCCGAAAGGCCCGAAACTTCTGGAGGGTGGCATGCCGTGGGGCATGTGTTTCTCACAAAAACATTAGTTTAACAAAACGTAGATAAACCCACACCGATTCATAAACAAATCGAGGATTTCGAGGTTCAATCTGACGGGTTCACGGCAAGAGGCCCAGCGCGAGGAACCCAAATAATTTAGAGCCCACAATTCAAAACTTGAACCCAAAACACTGGGGTCCACAAGGCACCTAAATAATCTGAAGCTTTAAGCTCTTAAACTGAAAAGCCCTTCAAATGAACTCACACTTGAGAGTTTGCACTTTCATACCTTTAGAATTGTTGAAACACAAAAAGGTCAACAAGGAATTCAGAGTTTCATGAAAACGTTCAAAGCCCTTGGGCCCAAGGGTGGAGTTTAATCTTTTTAGGTGCGGCTCGGGCCTATTCGGGCCTGTCTCTTTATCTTCTTTTTTGTGTTGTGGCTCGGCTTGGCTTGGCAATGTTGGTTTGCAGAGGCTGCGAATACTGCAAATCGCGGCATTTCTGTGCTTTCAGAGTTTGCAAGAACTGTAAAAAGCAGCATTTCTGACTTTGCAGGCTGCAAGAAGTGTAAACATACTGTACATAGCAGAATTTCTGAGTTTTCAGACACTGCAGATACTGCGTTTAGGGGCATGATGCTGGGCAACAAAACGCCAGTATTTCTTTGCTTGCCAGCGGGAGCGCGCATCAGCATCAAGACTTGTCCATGGGATGCGGGCGGTTGGCTTCATTACGACGGCTCCGACCGTCTCTTCAACTGGGCTGTTCCAGGTCCTGAGCCCTAAATTTAAGCAGCGATATCGCAACCAGCAGCCAAGAGGCAGCTTACAGGCATCACACAAGATACTGACATACTGTAAAGAGCGGCATTTCTGAATTTTCAGGGGCTGCATATGCTCTAAATGCCAGCATGAGACAAAACAAACGGAAGGAAAATCATTGACGCAAGCTTGCACGGCCAAAAAAAATGGTTGGGGGGGGGGGTGGGGCGCAGCCCCCCCCCCCCCAATTGCAAACAGAATGCTCGCATGATGGGTTTGGAAAGGATGGCGCACGGCTCAGAAAAGCGGTGGGCTTGGGGGGGGGCGGGGGGAGGGGGTCGCAAACATTTGCATGGGTTTGGAAGGGATTCATATGGTGTTTGAGGCAAGCTGGGGGACCCCTTCAACCCTAAAAGCAACTTGTTTGCAGAAGTGGGGAGTGGAAAGCTTAAGCACCTAATTCGCAGAAGCGAATGACATGGACTGCAAACAACCACTGGCCATGGCAAACTGTCAATGTCAAAACATGCTCAAATGCTAGGACCAAGTTGCCGCCCAAGAGCTTCAGTGCCAACAGCGATACAAAACGAGCACGGCACGCCACGCGGCCATCTTTGAACTGCGCGGAGTTCGTGAGAGTATGCTCCAGGCGGGTCTTGAATTCGTCGTTCCTGCTTCAACGTCTCATTCGGAAGTAACTGCGTCCGATGGTTGAGACTCTACTTCTTCTGTCACGTGCTGCTACACTTCGCATTTCTGCCTGCCGGTGACGACGAGCACGTGTAGAGGCTGGCCAATGCCTCCAAAACTGTGCCAGCTCCATGTATACTGAGGCCTGGTGCCCACTGTTGTCGCTATGCCTGGTAAACTCAGTAACATGAGCTAATTCCCACAACGGTCGCGCTGCTCTCCGGCGTTGTGAAATAGAAGGGCCTACAACCTTGCGGAGTTCCCCCTACCTGCCCATCCCGAAACTGCAACCTGGACCACAAAATCCTTCTGATCGCAATGGTTTGGCTGAATTACATGGTACAGCCGTTAGATCTTAACCCAATCTGCTCTTGACCTCTCTCAACATGCTACCCGAGTCCCAGTCGAACACAAAAAACACGACGCCAAGCCCAGACAAATCCAGACGATCTCCGGCAATCGATACAAAGCCCAAAACGTCAATACCCAAAAATGGCAGGCAACTGCTTTAACCAACCGCAACCCTTTGTAGAAACTCTTCTTCTCGGGCAGCGACCCTGTGTTGCCAGCTGTTCTGGCCAGGGCCTCGCATCTCTACAGAGTCTCACTTAGGGCTCAGGCTCTTTGGTTTTTCAGCTACGCAGGCTGGCTTATGCTTGCCTCAGTTTGCGACATCTGAATACAGGTCTGAATCCAAAACAGCCACCTGCTGCAAAGGCCGCGACACATCTTGGCCGCCTCCTCCTGTCATGACGAGGACCACCTGCTTCGTTGAGACAGCAAGAACAACAAATGTGGCTTCCTGCATGTCCGCTCTGCTTGTGACAACTCGCAGCTCAACACATCAACCTTCGAAATCCTGCGTAGGCACCTGCCCTTGTGGTTACCGCCTTTTTACGCCGGGTGTTCCGAGGCTGCAGGGGTCTGTCATGATGTGACAGATGTGACGAGTACCGTGGCCCGTCTTGGGCACAGTACAGTAGTCGACAAATGATGGAGATCAAATGTCCAATGTATAGCGCCAGCCAGGACTTCCTCATGCAGTCAAACACAGGCATCAGGAAGCCTGTTTGGCAGATAGCCTAACGCTCCTAGGCAGCAAGTGGGTTGTCCTTTCTTCAACAAAATTCTCACTAGCCTAGACAACAGGAAACCACAACAAAAACTTCTTCCGAGTCAAAACGACAGATATCACGGGCATCTCAGACACATGCCCACGCTCAGGTGCCAGTCCTGCTGACATAAGACAACTGTGCCGTGACATCAGAGACACGCAGTGCATGCGTAAACCTTTTGCCAGAACCTTCGAATCAGGTAATGCGAGGTTTCCAGGTGGATGGTGCCGAATTCATCACCACTGCTCAGGGCAGATGGAGGCCAATAAACACCATAGCACACAAGTCTTTGCAGCCAGCCGCCTGGAAGAGCTTCCAATGCTTGCCAGAAAGCTTGCTCGTCAGCCACATGTGCCTCAACGAGATGCAGCGTGAGAAAACAAGACTGCGTTGTGCGCTACCAGCGTGTCATCTTCATGGACTCCGACCATCGTACAAAAAAATCGTTTCTTAAGGCTGGGCCGTTTCTGCCGGAGCACCGCCACTCTTGCGTGAGGCGACAATGCAACCGCAGGAGGCTGCCGCCAGAAAGAAGTAGCCCGCAAGCAGGAAATGATTCCTCGGCGAATCAGTAAATGCAGCCTTTCAGGGTGTTTGCTGGAGGCTTTTGGGCTAGTTAGATCGATGGGCGCGAGAAAAACCAGAAGACCTGGTGAAATCAAACCCATACAATCATCAATCATTCCAAGCTTTACACTTCATACGCCATTCTCAGCTAAGGTGCCGGGATCCTCGGATGTCCTGTACAACCCACAGAAACAATTGACATGTTTCAGATACGCTGAATTAAATTGATATTGCTGGGGCTGCCTTGGTCACTGAAACTGTCAGAATCAGCATAGGCATTGTGCGGTTTCGCTCGGCAGCGCTGTTTACTTACTATAGCACTGCCCTCGACGTAGCTCGCTCCCTTGACCGTGGTCTGCAGCTGAAACGGAGATTCCGCGATTGAGGAATGTCCAGCCTGAAGCGCATTCCTTTTCGGACGCTGGACGCTGCATGCCTTCATATCCCTCGCTTTCTGTCACCAACTTTGAACTTAGGGTTTAGGGTTCATGGGCGATTGACTTCACGATTATTGGACGAAGCGATACAACCTCATGCAGCAAAACCATCGGTCATGCATAATATGATGCAGACTTAGCGAGAAGCATGCCAAGGGTGACCCAGTTTTCCTCAGCCCCGACAAGCCCGCCATGCAATAAGAGAGCCCTCAAACCTCGAGCTCCTTTCCATCATCACGCGCTGGGCCACAGCATCGTGGCCGTTTCGCAACTCGTTAAAGTTTTGTGCGCCACAGCACGGTGCTGTAGCGCCCGAAGGCGCCCCAGCCCTGCAAAAGGCAGCCCACCCCATTGTGACGTGTCAATCTATGACAAGCACCGCCGCCCGCAAAAGGCACCCCGCACAAAACCAATCCCCAAGGAGACGCGTCTGCGGCAGCACGTTTCGAAGAATGCGTGAAGAGCATCAGTCATGTGTGGGTCACGCAAGGCTACAGTAGGCGTACTTTAGCTACGCAAGTCTGGTGACTGATGCGTCTCACATGGCTAAAGTACCAAGTAGACGCCTTAGCTCACAGCCTTCCTCGGGTTGCCTGGACTGCCTGCTGAGAGATCTTGTCGGGGCTTCAGGCATGCCGCCAAGTCTGACCGGTGATGTGCGTACGAAGACCCTTCGCCCCCACCATTGTTCGACTTCACGAGATTATCCCTTTGCGCTGCTTATAAACCTATTTGGGCCTCCAAATCCTTTTGTGTGGTTGGGGGTCTTGGAGGCTTGTGATGGCTTGTGATCGGGAGCGAGAGGCCACAGTCACTGAGGAACTTATTCCACACAAGTAAGCCGAAGATCCTAAGGGTGCTTAGGGAATGTAGGGCGCTCCGAAGGTTACAGCATGCTAACGTTTCAAGAAACAGATGTAACATGACATATAACTCGATGCTTCGACGGCGGAAACGACCAAGAGACATGCTCGCAGGATGCCTTTCTGCATATGGACCATCACTCAGGCTGAAAAAGGTATTGCAGGAGTTTTGTTGGAAATGACTTCGCCCCTCCTTGAAGAGGAACACTGACCACAGGGATCCAACGAAACCTGGGCCGATGAGAATAATGGGGAAAGCCGCGGCGTACCCCAGGTCGACCTGAGGCTTCGGGATGTGCTGCATGGGGTGCAATGGGATGAGGTACGTCGATGTACAAGTATTGGTTTAGGCTCCGATGGTCGGCTTGTCGGGCTTGTGGTGCACGGCCAGGCGGGCTTATCTTATCGCCCCCGAGCAAGCGACATCTAACACTGACACACCTTGGAGACGGCTTGTACGTTTCAACCTGGCCACCAAGTTGGTGAATGGCCCGCGGGAGTTCGTGGTCACAGCGGGGGTAGGGTGCACTCTGAGAAACCCCGACTAGGAAACACACACACACACACACACACACACACACACACACACCCTTACAGGACCACTGTCTATTCTGCATTTGGGACATACCTAAAAGTTCTATTTGTCTTCCATGCCTGGCACCCCCAACCCTGGACCCCAAGGTCGAGCTGTTGCCGGTCCCCTCAATTTGTTCGGCGCTTAAATGCTGTATGAGAACAGGTTTGTCAGGAAAGTGGTTCTGTCAGCGGCGGCTAAGTACTTTACATAGTTGTGGATGTGGCGCAGCCAAGGTTAAAGTCAAAGTCATACTTTCCAGAAATGCTTATAGTTCGGAGATAGCAGTTGTGTCGGGCCAAGAGGCGTTTGCGACGAACCAGCAGGACTGTGCAATGGCCCACATTACTCCTCAGCTTTGTGCTGTTGACAAAGTGCCTAAGCTTCTGGTGAGAGCCCTTCTCACCACAATGCTGCAGCCCACCAGGGGTGTCAATGCTGCCTCTGCTTCTACGACACTGAGACGAATTGTCCTTCTGACGCAGACAGAGCCCTTGCTTCCCGTAATCTGTACTCCTGATCAAAAGCTGCTGTGCATGGGGCACAACTTGCAACACCGATACACAAAACTGCCCAGTTGCTTTGTTTCAGGCTGCGGCTCTTTGGATTTACCTCGACCCTGCGACAATGCTTCATCACGGTTTGCTCCATGGCTCCGGAGATGAAACCAGGAAGCATGATCTCAGGGTTGATCTGCGGCCGGTTGTTCTTCCAAGCGCAGTATATCAAGAAGTACCTTGCGATTTAGGAGCGCGGGGATTGAGTAGTCTGGATACAGTCTGGGGAGTTGAGATGGAGCCACCAAGCGCGCACATACTTTCTGGAATGCCGAGGAACACTATGGAGGCTGCCAGAATTCCACAAAACCTTGGGAGGCAGCTCGTATGTGCTCGCAGTGTGTCACTTCCAAAACCATCGGGATTCTCACACAAAGGCCCATCTGAACGCGCACTGAGGGCCGATCTGATTGAACACCTCAGACCCATGTCAGACCAGGTAAGGAACTATGAATCTGCCAAAAAACTGCTTGCCAAAAGCCACTGTTTCATCATCTCAAAGTTGCCAGCATCAGCGGTAAGTTGTCGAGCCGCAAAACACAAATGGGTACTGAGACAGACACATCTCTTGGGACACTGGCTGCCAAGAAGAATTAGAATCCAAGTCATCCACACAAAGCTGGTTGCGGTTTGTTGCCGTTTGGTCTCCCAGCTGTCGACGCACCGCTGCATGTTTGTACTGACTTTCCGTACTTGACCCAGCTTGTGAATTCCTGCAGCTGGGCCCCAAGCATAGTCCAGCCCGTCTTGGGAGGCTCCCGCTACATGGTTCCTGGGTTATGCGGCTATGTGCTCTAGTAACAATGAATGGCAAAAGGAGATTCACGGTGGCACATCTAGCAGCATTTGTATGCCCGAGTTTCTGGATCCACGTAGATGGGAGGAAATTCAATCCGTAACCTCACACGTGGGGTCGATATTGCACTGTGACAACATCTGCCAACCGCCAGTCCACAAGGCTGTGGCAGACCGTGCCCGAAGCTTTTGCGGACACGAGACAAGTTCCAGCCACCAAACTCGCCAGCACGCCCTAAGTAGCATCTCAAGTCACGTCTAGACGGGAATATGATCTCAGACTTCAGTTGCTGTGCCGTGAAACTGAACTCTGCAAAACCATGTCACACCCCGACTTCTCAACTAGATGGAAAACCGCGACAAGGAGATCGCACCCAGCACCCCTCCTATTTCTGGCTTGCGGGCTTTCGGCCTTCGTTCGGCCTGTCGATGCTCTTCGTGGGCTTTCCTCGTCCTCGCAGCAAGTGCAAGTCTGGCATAATTAGGGCCTGTGTCGGTCTTGAATTTGCCGCGGGGGGGGGGGGGGGGCTGGGAAACTCCTGAGATGTAGCATGCAATAACCGCTTTCTTCAGAGGACTTGTTGGAAGCATCCTATCCGAAAGGACGAAAGGACTCTCCTCATTAATCGTCGGAGGAACCCGGCCAGTATCGAGCAGTGGTTTCCGGGGAGCGCTTTTCCTGGCAACAAGGCAGGAGAAGAGGTTGTGCCCTTGGAGAATTTTGGAAAACCCGCTGTAACTGCAACCATCACCTGACGAGTGTGCTCAGCGCCAGCGCGAAGACGGCTAGTACAAGGCCTGAGGCGTCAGCCGCAGCTACTTTGGAGATTGTGCGAACAAGACATTCGGCTTCACAACGTAAGCATCTGACCCACAACATTGAGCCATGGCTTCTCTAAGCAGCGCTGCTCCTTGGTTCATAGGGTTATGCAGGAATTGCCGTCGGATGTATCGCTGGGTTTCATGTCATTATGCTGTCATGATATCCGCTGAGACCGGAGGCCTGAGGTGAGCAACTCCAGGTCGAGGCAACTTGGAAAGGTCTGCCGACCCGCAGCTGGTGCGGCCGAGAATTTTTTGGTCCGGAATGGAACCCCCCCATACGCGGACGACGTGCCAAGGGAGTATTTTGTGTCAGCCGCACACCGCCACCCCCCTTTACCCCCGTCCATCCTCCCCCCTAGCATCCCTGGCCCCCCTTTCCCCCCCACTCTCCCTTCTAGCGTCGACGCCCCTGAATGCTCTTGCCCCTCGTATACCCTGCATTAGCTTCGGTACCCTTGCCGAGGCGGCCTCGCGCTATGGACGGAGTCGCACTTTGGGCCATAAGTCCCGGCACGGTCTTGAATGGGAAACATTGAAGCTGAGTTGTTTTTTTGCACTGCCAAAGCAAACCTCAATGTGTTGAACCTGCCAAAGCAACAGAATGCTCTGATTCGTTGAGCTTTTGAGCCTTCATTGAGACAACCGCAAGCCCTGACTCGAACCCCTCGCAACCCGAAGAGGTGCCGGCTTCCTTGGAGTGCGGCTTGGCGTCACTGGGCAAGCCAAAGAGCCCAAAAAATCCAGTGACCCAGCCGATGATGAGAGCTGCCGTGCCCCAGGTCACCAGTCCTGCGCAAGCAAAGCAGATGTGATGAGGCACGCATGTTGCGCATTTTAATTCTTGCGTCGGTTGTCAAGGTCTACTTGAGAACATTTGCCTGCCCACGCGTTGCGGACCGTGGGCTGGGTAGTGCCAGTCAAGCTATCTTCGGGTGGGGGAGTGCTTTCAGTGGCACTTCCCCTGCTCGGTTACCGTGGAAAAGGTGCTGCAGGAGTGGGCTTCTCATGTCTCCAAGTTGACTGGAGCTGGAGTAAGTTCAAGCGATCCCATGCACTGATTGCTATACCCCAAACCAAGACATCCACTAACCGTGGAGACATCTGATAACCGCAAGATCGAGGTAGAGGCCAAGCAACCGTTAAGCCAGTCACACACTCTTGACGCTCTTTTTCTGTAATGTCTAAACCCTGCAGTGATCTCAAACCAAAAGAACCGTGCAATGTACAACCCAAGCGGCCAACCTCCAAGTGTTGCAACACAATCCAAGAATCCAAGAGTCTGAACACTCTGACCGAAAAGTACGACCAACCATGCACAGTAGGATCGTTGTGCGTGATATCGCTGCGAACTACGTGCTGGCTAGGAAATCAACTGGCAAAGGGGCATGCTGAGTGAACAAGGGAACAGAAAGCGAAACCGCAAGCAGCAACATTGCCGACAAGTACAGCAGTACGTTTGGCATGTGCTGGACCGTATGGCGCGGACTCATTGAGTAATGTATCCACCAGGACCCTGTCTCCACTGCTGCATGTTTGTGATGAAACTTCAGGATACGACCCCGCAACTCCCCGAGAGTCCTCTGAAAGCCAAGCCACACTCACGATTTCAACAGTTTGGTCAAGGCTCTCATTTCAAGACTGCTCAAGTTTGTCATGACCATCAGATCAAGATCACATCATCGAACATGTCCCGCTACGCTCCTGGCCCCAGCCCGATCTGCTTAATGATGTACACGGTGAGGCAGTTGCCGGAGCACCAGAGGACGCCTCCTGACATGGCCTGGCATGGGCCCTTCTGATGGGCACTTCTGGCTGCATTGAAGCACTCTGCAAGGTGGGCAATTGCCTCGCAGCCTACCGACAATTCTGCTTTGAAACGACTCTTGCTGCGCTCTGAGTAGCCACCGGATAGAACGTCGGATTGCTTCGCAGAAGCAGCACCATCAGGCCAGTGAACCATATCCCCAGGCACAACCTCAAAGGCGAACCGATGAAGTTAATCAGGAGATGCCGGCATCGTTCACGGAAACGTCTTTGCCCAGGCTAATCGAACTGGCGAGTGCATGCGGCCAAGGTGCACCAACTGAAAGAGCATTCCATCTCCAGCATCGTACTTCGCAACTACCTCCGGCAAACAAACAGTGGGCTGTGCAAGCAACCATCCTGATTCCTTACAGACGGGAATATCTAGACTGCTTGCATCTGCCCATTGCCGAGCTTGAGCCGCTTGAGCCATCCCAGAGCGGCTTGAAAACCACCGAAAGGGCCCAGAAACCTGCAGGAACCCGCAGGAACCCATGTAAGGCATCGACTGCGAAGTTGCTTCCGAAGAAAAGCACGGCCACTGCAGCACAAAGGTAGCCTGAGTCAAGGCCCATATTCCCTACTGGCACCTCGTCGCTAAACTTGGAGCGCATGTGGTCGCATGTGGTCTCTGCTTCTGTGAAATTCCTGCGTCCGGCAATTCACAGGAGTCTGCTACCAATCCACTACATGTTTCTGCCATGGCGCCAACCAAAGCTGCCATTGGCCCAGTGGCGCATGGAGCAAGTCTTTGGACACCAGCAATAAGTTTAAACAACGCTACGATGTGCACTTATACACTGCTTAGGAAAGGGAAAATTGGGTTGGATTTGGTTCAGTATTGCTGAGCACATAACAGGTACAGGACAGCATATTGCCTGAGCCAATATTTCTTCAGCTCTCAGGAGCACAGGTTGCAGGTCGCAAATTGGACACGTGGGCCTCACATCCTGCACCTCTGCATGGGAGCTGTGATGAGCTGCGGACTTGCACCTTAAGTCCTGCCTTCGTGCTGGGGGGTGCGATCTTCGCTCGCTCAATGCGGACCTTCTCGACGTCCTGCACGCTCACATCTGGGTGAGAATGCCGGTTGTCATTGCATGTTTATACAGTTATACTCACGACAGTAGAAAGCTGAACAGAACTGCACCCCAAAACTCAGCGTGAGAATGGATGTTGAAGAGGACAGAGACCGAGGCCCATAAGCCACTCATTTTTTAATTGTCATCAGCTGTGTATGTAAACCGAAGCGGTGCAAAGTCGCCTTTGGTAGCAAGAAGGGCTGTCGGACAGGATAGCCAGAAAGGAAGGTCCTCGAGCTGTTGCATCAGCTGTGTAATGAAAAGATGTACCGGTACTAATGCACAGTTACGAAGTTTACGTCACAAAGAATGATGCGAAGTGACGAAGCTCCTGTCGTGGCCCAGGGGCAACGCTGTTTGCTGCGAGGTCGTCTGTGGGAAAGGCATGGCCAGCTTGAATCCTCAGCCCCGTCCACCAAACCTTCGATTCCTACAGACACACATCATGACGCACATGACGAGCACTCACGCAGCACGATCGCGCAGGTTGAAACATCTGCTGAAACATCTGCTGGGCTCACGCGGGTAAATGGTGGCCTCATGCTCGCTGAAAACCTGCAGGATGATGAGGGCTGCAGCCAGATGCGGTAGACTGTGGGCAACGGCCCCATTAGATATGTTTGTTGGAAATATGTTCGCACCCATACAGGCCTAAGCTACAAGCCTAAATGCAAAGAAGCCCTACGTCCCATGCGTATTCCCGCAGAGTAGGCACATTAGGCACATTGACTCACACAATGCTCATACCTATGAACCCTTCTGAGCACAGTAGTCATTCCGGCAGCTGTGAGCATGGAGATCACCGAAGTGCCACTGGGCTCACAAAGCTGTGAGCTGTTTTTGCCCCAAGCCACGTTTGGTCTTTCAAAGGGAAGGGAGCAGTCTATTTACAACTCCCACTTTGGGGAGCCCCACAACATTGACTGCAGTCTTCCATGCAGAGGGCATGCCGAGGTCTGGGTTTTGGGTTTAAAAATGCCCGACTGACGACTGCTGAGTCGCAGCGTGCAGCACAACAAGCCGACCACGAAATGCAAAAGCTGCAAACCCGCAGAAAGACTGAACGCTCCAGAAGGGGTAAGACCCATCACAATGAGTTTCCACCGTTTAACCTTCAAACCTTCATTTTACTCTTTGTTGCTTTCCATCCGGCGCGTGACCTCCGAAGCCGGGCACACCGACTTCCTCGCTTTCCTCTGCGTCCTGGCTGTGTTCACCATCATGTCAAAGCCACTCCATCGTTGGAAAGGACCTGATGGCACAGGTGCGCAAACATCACACAAATCCGCGTGCATGTCATGCAAGCTCTGCGGCCGGGCGGCTTCTTCTTGCCGAAGAAGCTGCGTGTCCGCTTCCGCTCAACCATGAAGTCCTGTGCCGGGTCACAGCTGACAAAGTTGACAACATGCAGGTGAACATCTTTTTCTAAGGAACACGCGCATATAGGCGCACTCAAACCTGGACACGAACTGCTGCACAGTTGTTTCTCGCTTGGTCTTTCGGGCAGCAACGCTCGTGAACTACGTGGCCTACAGCAAATTCCATTGCGTAAAGCCCCACAAAAACCCGAGGTTTCTTGCACACGCAGGATACTGACCCACAAAATCTGACATGACTGTTGTCGCTTGGGTTTCCTGCGATAAAGCTTCTACGGCCAAATTAGGAGGACAGTACATTGCATAGGTCACGGCGCCACTAAATCTAAGACTGCAGCTGTCTGGCCAGAAACTAGAATGATCACAGTCCCCTACCGAAACCGCTGCGACAAGGAAGCCTCAACTCAACCAACTTTGTGGTCAGTTGACTGTTGCACAACTAAAAAACTAAACACCTCTGTCGTGGATGATCTGGGAAGTGGATGCACTGGGACCATGGATGTTCTTAAAGTTAGGCCACGGATGCTCTGGGAAGAAGATGCTGGATGCACTGGGAAGTGGATGCACTGGAACCATGGATGTTCTCAACCATGGATGCTCTTGTGAATCTCGAACAGCATGGCGACAGTGGGCAAGCAGGAAAGCAGGAAGCAAGCAGGATACAACCAGGCCTTTTACGCGCCTGCTTCCTGTTAGGACGACCTAAATGCCCCTCCCCAGCAGACACTTCCCGGGACAGGAGCGCACCTGTGAGTCTGGGGAGCCATCCAGGCTATCCTCAGGCGCAATTGCGAAAAAACATTTCACGCGAGCCTGTCTTCAGAAACCCTGGACAAGGTTACTGCGCGTGTTGAAGTAGAAGAGGTTCGCGCGCATTCTGCCACCAGGTTGCATAGAGCTCCTCGATGATGTGAGAGACCCGCGGCTCAAGCCTCAGTGTTTTTTGTGCAGCTTTGGTGCTGGAGCCCAGGAACGAAACATTGATGCACAGGGGCATGTTTGTGCTCAGGGGATTCTCAGAACTTCGGGTTCGGGCTTCGACAGCCTCAGGCTTCGTGAGGCATCCCGCTTCGGGGTAGCAGCCAACGTTCAGTGTCAATTTGGATTCGGATTTCAGAGAGTTTCTCAGATTGAGGTGCTATGCGATTCGATGGCAAAGCTCAGGGCAACTGTCCGAAAACAAAGCTCCCCTATGGGCCTTCGCACGAGCAAAGCTAGCAACATGCAAAATGCTCTAGCCGATATCAGCGGCAGCTCGCAGTCTCACATCAATACATCCCAAGTCGTACTAAATTGAGTTCTGTCAAAAGCGCAATAACAAGGCTGCAGTCCCAGAATGTCATACCTTGCCGAAAGCAACCTGGCCCACCCTTTCTTACCAGAGAGCTGATCCCGCCGCAGTTGGAAGGTTGGCGTCTGGAGGCCTGCCTCTTCTGCTTTGAGTTGTGGGTTTCGCGGCAGCAAAGGCTCTGGCCAGAGGCGCTAACGCCACAATGCCGAAAATATGACGTTTTGCTCCAGCTACACTGCCCACTTCCAGCGCCTCCAGCGAAAATGGCGTGGCCTGCAACCGCAGGGCGCGTGGTGTCTCCGCTTCGGAGAAGCCGAACCTCGATCGAACAAAGGGTAATCTTCAACTTAATGCTATGGCTATGACTATAAATCCCGGAGTGGGGCATTATGGAAGGTGTTGTGATGCATTTTGGGCAGCGGTAATCAGTAGTAGGAAGTCGTTGGCAGTAAGAGGCAGCAGTGGTAGTAGCAGTAGTGGTGGTACCCGCAGCCGCAGCAGCAAGTAGTACACGTAGTAGTAGCAGTAGAAATAGTCGTAGTAGTACTCGTAGTAGAAGTAGAAGTCGTCGTGGTCGTCGTGGTCGTCGACGTCGTCGTCGTCGCCGCCGTCGTCGCCGTGGTCGTCGTGGTCGTCGTGGTCGTCGTGGTCGTCGTGGTCGTCGTGGTCGTCGTGGTCGTCGTGGTCGTCGTGGTCGTCGTGGTCGTCGTGGTCGTCGTGGTCGTCGTGGTCGTCGTGGTCGTCGTGGTCGTCGTGGTCGTCGTGGTCGTCGTGGTCGTCGTGGTCGTCGTGGTCGTCGTGGTCGTCGTGGTCGTCGTGGTGGTAGTGTATGGTAGTGGTAGTGGTAGTGGTAGTGTAGTGGTAGTGGTAGTGGTAGTGGTAAGTAGTGGTAGTGTTAGTTAGTAGTAGTAGTAGGAGTAGTAGTAGTAGTAAGTAGTAGTAGTAGTAGTAGTTAGTAGTAGTAGTAAGTAGTAGTAAGCGTAGTAGGAGTTAGCAGTAGCAGTAGCAGTAGCAGTAGCAGTAGCAGTAGTAGTAGCAGTAGCAGTAGCAGTAGCAGTAGTAGTAGTAGTAGTAGTAGTAGTAGTAGTAGTAGTAGTAGTAGTAGTAGTAGTAGTAGTAGTAGTAGTAGCAGTAGTAGTAGTAGTAGTAGTCGTGGTCGTGGTCGTGGTCGTGGTCGTGGTCGTGGTGGTGGTGGTGGTGGGGGTCGCGGTCGCGGTCGCGGTGGTGGTGGTGGTCGTGGTCGTAGTCGTGGTGGTGGTGGTGATGGTGGTGGTGGTGGTGGTGGTGGTGGGGCGGGGGGCGCGTGTGCTTTTGAATCTTTTTTGGTGGGGTGACTATTGGCACCACTACAGCGAACAAAGATACAACAGCAAAAGAACGCGTCACCCGAAACCAACTCAGAAGCATCACAGTGGCACTGAAGCAAGTTCCAAGGGGTAGCCTATCAAAGCTTCGAGCGGCTGTGCCCGGTAATGACAAAACCCAGCAATATACTGCGACTTGGGCCCAGACTTTGCAGCATGCTTATGGAGCTCGCGCAGGCAAACGCGGACGACGCGCTGATCTTTGCAGAGGTCCTGGATGATCGCATGAAGCACTGATGGATTAACAAAGCACGCATCGGGCTCGCACGACCACTGAAACAATAGCAGCAACAGTAACAGCAACGACGACGACAACGCCAACGCGCTTGTTCAATAACGATGAATCTCAAATACCAATCGGAAGACAACATGTCAAAGTTCAGAAACCTACGCTGGAAAGTTGTATGGTTCGGGGGTGAGTTGGATTACGAACCCATCGCTATCACTGCTTGCGAAGCAACTTCAGCCGAATATGAACATGCTGCGTCACGTGACACTGCCGACGTCATCAGTGCCTTGACAATTGCTGCTTGAGAACTTGCTCAACCTGGCCCACATCAATTGCCACGATACCACTCACAAGTTACCAATGAGATGGGTGTGATGGCTTTGACATTTTTCATGGATCTCCATGCTTTTGTGTTGCACTCGGTTATCAATGACATTTTGGGCGATTTTGAATGCCGCGCGGGTATTGCGGCACAGATGGCATGTCATGAAGTGGCAGTTCAGGGATAGTTGTGATGTTGGGGAGAAGTTTTCTTGGATGAGCTGAAAACATGACTTCACGTGTTGTTGAGTATCGGGACTGGGCGCTAGGGCTTCATCCACCCTGAAGCTCAAGATTGTGAACAAGCGCAGACACACTTCATGACAAAAAAGGTCTGGTCAATTTAGGCACCTGTCTTATGAGCAAAAAGTCCAGAGAGTGTCCTCGCCGCTTGAGGCCCCGTCGATACTCCAGAATTTCGCCAGCCTTCACAGGGGCTGGTGAAAGGGTCTGTTTTGGATGATCTGACGCTTCCAAGTGTGCCCAAATAAGAACTCAACCGCCGACACAGAGGGGCCATGCCCTTGGGGGAGCGGCAGACGCAACGAATCCTGTAGGATTTCTTTGCAAAGCCCGAAAACGCACCTGCAAAAGGACGCAGTGGGCCTCCAAACCTCTTCAAGTCGCACAGCTGCTACGCCCACGACGCCCTTTGGCTTCGCCACCAGGAGGAGCTGCATCAGCCAAGGGCCGGTGACCTCGACGTATTTGGGGCCAAGCCTGTTTAGGTTTTTTGGTCCCTGGAAAGGCCATGTACCTGACAGCTAGGAAACTGCCCTGCTCCTGTACCACAGGCACCAACTGCTGCAACCCAAACCCTGGCCCTGTAGGTTTGGTGGCAAACGTTGAACGTTGAACATGATATGACAAGACTGGGACTATGTTGTGACAAAATTGTGACAAAATTGTGACAAAATTGTGACAAGATTGTGACAAAATTGTGACTCAGGTTTCCGAAGCCTGGAGCAGGAGCTGCTCCAATGCCTCGCAGAGGGCCCCGCGGTTCAGAGACTCCTGGAAAGATCTGGAAAGCTGGCAGAGGGCTTTCGGCTCTTCGAAGCCTGCAAACTGCAAAAATGTTGAGTTTGTGATGTTTGTGGCTCATGCCCTTTCTGCCTCAAAAAAATCAGCGCTCCGAAAGGTCCTGCAAGGACACTAAGCGACCATAGACAAACAGTTCTTGATCGCGCCGCCCAACGACGATGCCCACTTTGGCCTGGAAGGGCGCAAACCTCTGAACAGCTTAGGACTGCCACATGGGCCACAAGTCTGCAGAACGCGTGTTTCCAGACCCTGCCCAGACAGGCATTCTGTCACAGTGGGGCTACGTATTTCGGATGGAGTCTGATACTAGCAAACGCATACAACAATCGTTCAGTCAAACTGGCAACACAGACCCAGCCCTTACCTTTGGAAGTCCTGCAAGTGAAATATCCCATATCTCCCCTGCCACGGTGCCTCCTCCGTGGCCAAGCCTTTCACTTTCACGGTGCCGAGCTCGATGTGAGCCTCCGTGCTCCCGTGCAGCGGGGGCGTTTGCAGCAGCCACAAATGCTCTAGCCTAGACTCTGCATCTCTGTACATCTCTCTGCATATCTCTGCATTGTGTGCTGCGGGTGTCGAGGCTCGAGATCCAGAAGATCACACATGGTGAGCGAACTGTTGCACATGGTTACCAATGCCCCGGCTTTTAATCTTTCAGACCACGCTGCAAAGATCTGCAATACAATCGCCCCCAAACTGAAGCCTAAGGCATCCTGTCGTTGGCCCCCGGATCCTGCCTCATGGGAGCCCAGCACGCTGAGTGGAGGAAAGCCCTCCTCAAATGGGGCCCTACTCACTCATCCGATCACAACAGAATGAAGAGTTCTTTGTTTAGTTACCCGGCTGAGTCCGCCGAATGGCAGCGAACAAGGCCACAAAGGGACGAAAGGTCCATTGGACACTCCTGGAAAGGGTCTCGTCCCCCAGTCCCTCTAGGTTGACCCTCAAAAGAGCCGTGAAGCCCTCCGTGAAGGCCTACGCATACCAAACAAAACCATGTAAACCCCATGAAGACCCGGCAACAACGCACCGTTCGTTCCCAGTGGCTGGTAAGTTCAGCTTCAGCATCTCAATCCTTGACTTGCACGTTGGGTTTTGGAGCGGCGCTCTTGGTTTTGTAACTTTCGGGATTTCAGGGGGCAAGGATGGCAGGGCTGCGCTTGGGGTTTTGAGCACTTAGGGTATGATGTCGTATGGCATCGGGGGGGGGGGGCGAAATTTATTTGGAAATACCTTCTTTCGCTCGAAGAACATAAAGCGCTGCCTCAAAATTGCCCACGAGAATCTGCACTCCCGGCAGCTCCCGACCCACTGCGAAGGCCTCAAACCGGCGTGGTGTCAACACAGCTTCTCAAGGCTGAGGTGCTTCCACGAGCAGTGCCATTAAAGGCATTCATAACTCACGACGCGACATGCGCAAAAAAAAATGGCTTTGCAAGTGCTCAGAAGAGAGCATGATAAGACATGATCTCGCAGTAAGGAAGCCGGACTTGTTCCACCCATGCGCACCGAACTACTCTTGATGGGCGATTCTTCCAACATCACTGTGCCTGGAAGGTGTCCCCGAAGTAAGGTGCCTCGCCCAGTGTGACCATGCCACCTGCCTTCGCGGGGGGCGCTTCGCGGGGGGCGCTTCGCGGGGGGCGCTTCGCGGGGGGCGCTTTGTGGGGCGCTTCGTGTGGCAAGGCAACGCGTTCAGAGTGAGAGTGAAGGAGTTTTGGAATTTTCTCGGGGATGGTACTAATCCTGACATCAGACTGCCAAGCGCCTCCACGGAGACGAAGCTCTTTAGCACAGGGCAGCCGAGCAGGAGACGCATCCACAGGCAGCGGTCCTAGGGCACACTGGTGACCACTGATGATACAGTGCCTATATGCGCCTACTGTGACACTTCAAAGGCACCTAAAGAGAAAATATGCGTACAGCGTAACAATGCAGCGCCGTGTACAGGGAAAGGCGTCCCGACCAATCCCGCGCAGAAAGTTCCTGGAGGCCTGAACCATGCGTCCTGAACGATCCTGAACTGCTAAGCCTCCCTCGGTTGTTAGCCAAGGAACCGGCGGCAAGGCTGTGGTGCCTGCGCCACCTTCAACAAAGCTATGATGTTGGCACTCCGCGTGTTCAAGGGCTCGTCAAATGCCGAAACTCGAAGCCTGCAGGTGAACCTCAGACCCCAGTATACCACCTCAACATACACCTCGACAGCACCTCCCACCACAATAGAGTGAAGCCCGGTCGCAGAGCGCCAGCACGAAACGGAGCCGCGTCTTCGACCCTAAAAGCACGTGCCGGGGGATGACCTCAGATGTTCTCTGCACAGCTTGGGTTAGGGCGTTTGCTACGAACGGCGCGTACAAACCACGCTTGCATCGCCACAGGACTCGCAACTACCGAGGCACTTGACTGGGTGACAACGTGCTTGCTGTTGTGGGAGTTTGTGGCTGCTCTCTGCTGCGGCTTTCTTTGGATCTAAGACTGGCGGGGCTAGTTCAGCACCAATTTCTCGCGCTAAACCGACGGAACGTCGAAGGTCCCTAGCAAGTGCAAAGTCAAAGCTGCGCAGCTTTCATCTGGGGATCTTCCATGGTAAGGAATCCTTGTGACACCGTTTAATCGGCCAGGCTCAGGCCCCGGCGAAGGGCTTGTTCAGCCAGTGGCTAAGGGGCTTTGTCAGGCACCACTTTGCCACCATCTCCAGGAAGCTCGCACTTGGCAAGTCACTGGCGCTGAGGTGGCCTTCGGGCTTAGAGGCTTGGCTTAGAAGCTGGCAGCGATGCTTTGCGTGTGAACTTTGATGCTTTGGGGGATTTACGACCCGTCTGGAAACGAACCGCAAAACATTGACGAGAAATCATGCGCAGCAAACCCTGACAGTCCTGCGGTGGTGCCACAAAACTGCAACCTCAAACGGGACTCCAAAGCACCTTAAGCCTTGAAGTGCAGATGTCCCTGGCCTTCCATGTCCGGAAACTCAGAATCTGCTCGGCAGCGGCTGAGCGCCCAGCGCTGCAGTTGATAGCCTTGGCTTCAGCATGCTTCAGTAGCTCCGTAGGGTTGACTGTTTGGAAGAGGATGTAGGCTCCTAGGTCTATAAGGTCTGATGTGGGCAGCTATGGCAGACATGGAGAATTGGCGGTGGGGGTTTTGGGAGCCTCTGGTCGCGGGTGGCGGTGGGGGTGGTAGTGAGGGTAGTGGGTAGGAGTGGGTGGGAGTAGAAGATTCGTAGGAGCTGTATCATAGTGCGGCGACAATATCTCACGGCGGAGTCTGTATAACCTTCCGATGACGTCCACAATGGTGCTGGAAGAAGCTCGTTTGAAAAGGCTGCAATGAAGATCCTGTTTTCTACCATCGGCGTTAATTAGAGAATTGCTGAAGAGGCCAGGTGACTGAGGTTCCCCAGCATCCCCACGTGCTTTGTCTGCAGCCGTGTGATCTGCCTCCTCGAGGTTCGCATTGGAGCTACGCTTTCGAGAGACAAACGCTGGCTAGCTGTCTAGTATAACTCATCTGCAACAAGGAAGTCTTGTACGGATCTCTTCTTGACGAACCTGCGACAGTCGGAGCCCACATCAGAAAGAAGCTTATACTTTCAGTAAACTAGCTGAAAGGTTTACATGATGTAGTCCGAGGGGATGCTTTCGGGTTCGTGCTCGCCTGAAGAGGCTGGCTGTTCCCAGGAGGAAAGTCGGCTGAAGGCGCCGGATGTCCTCTCTGAAGGCAAAAGCTCAAGCATCGAGATGTCTACACGAGAGCTCTACACGAATGCAGCTACTGATCGTGTGCGAGAATGAAGGGCGCCGTGCATGGCGAGCGAATGATTCAAGCAAAGTCTGCATTTCCTCGAAGATACGTGGGGAGCGCACGCCGCCAAAGAAACCCACGGCACCCCCGGCGGCCAGCACTGCATGGAGCACCTGCAGTCAACAAACACCAGAGTCAGAAGCATGTCTCAGACATTCTCAGACCGTCCCTTCACCCCTGCTTGGCCCTGCGATCTCCCTGCGATGAATGCAAAGTTAACCCTCGACATCTCGGAAGGTCCATCACAGAAACCCTGAACTCTGCCAAGCTCTCAGAAGTCAACATGGGATCAAGCCGAAACACCACTCGCTCTGCAGTGAAGGCCGGCCAGATGTAGCTGAAGTGCCTTAGATGTCAGACCGTCCACGACCTGCAAACCCAGGTGCCAAAACGAGCTGAGACATGTCTTGTACCCACACTTTCCCCTCTCTATCTCAGTGCAGGGGCCTGTCGTCGTTGCGAAGGCCCAGCGCCTGACGGATGGAATGGGCGCAGATAGCCAGGCCGCGCCTGGGCTGTTGGGGCTTTGGCAGTTTGGGCTTCAGCTTGCAGACGTTTTGAGGGCCTTGCCGTGCCTTGAAGCATCCTTCTGCCGACACACACACACACACACACACACACACTCAAAAATCACCTTCTCCTGAAGGGATAAGGCCTCAGCAAACGCTGCATCCACATCTTCTGCACAATGTGCAGAATCAACAGCTTCTGCACTAGGTGCAGCATCAACATCTTCTGCACTGGGCGCAGCATCAACGTCTTCTGCACTAAGTGCAGCATCAACATCTTCTGCAATAATTGCCGCATCAACATTGCTCTAGAAGATGTTACACTGAACTGACTTTTGAGCACGTACACAAGGGTGATCAGCCCTTGCTTCCCATCAGATTCCCTAGCTTTGTTAGGCACGGTCCGGAATCTGACGCCCTGCCCCCCTGCACGTGAAACAAATCTTCGGAGCTGCAGCGACAAGAGGTATCCTATATCTCCAGGTGGCCACACACACACACACACACACACACACACACACGTCGGCACTGGCTAAACAGCACTGATCCTCCTCAATGCCCCACATGCCGGTTCGCATCATGTTGCCGAGGGGCAGGCTCACCGAGACCCCAGCCAGCTCACTCTTCGTCCCCGACCGTGAACGGTACATCGTCGTCATGACATCGAAGCCCCCGACACCTTGGCAAATTCTGCGCAGCACGCGTGCGAACCCTTGGGAATTGCAAATGGCCCCCTCAAAAATGGAAGACTAGTGCCTTAGTGACTGCCGTCCTCCTGCCGAAGCACCGACATACGGCACCCAACCGGCCACCTCGCCGAAGTTGGCGATGAAGGGCAGGTCCCAGACATTGAGGTGCCGGTGCTGTGCCATGGCGGCCAGGCGAGCTGTCAGCGGTGTGAAGGTGACTATGGGGCAGCGCGGCAGCTCCTCGTTTCGGCGCGAAGCAACGAAGTACTCCACCCAGTCTGAAGAGCAAAGCAAGAGCTCCAGGTCCTGCACACTACTGGGCACTGGTGCCGTGGTGCCCAGGGTTGGGTTTGATGCGGGGGCCGCCAGGCAGACCGTGTTGGCACCCAGTCGCATGAGGGCAAGGTCACACAGCAGCCAGTCTGCCGAGGCATCGCCCAAGAGGCCCACCTGTGCATTGCGTTTCAATCCGAACTTTCGGTGCAGACCCGAAGAAATCCGCAAGACCTCAAACTGTGCATCACCGTAGTTGAGCCAGGTGTACTCCCCCAAGGTGCCATCAGAGTTCAAAGGCCGCCGACCAATGCATGGCCGAAGTCTATACGACTCCACAGAGCCGTTGAAGCTGTCGTACGGGCTAGATGCCACAGTCTTGGCCGGCCGTTCCGACTGGGCCTGCAGCCGCCGTCGAAAGGCCGAGCTGGCCAGCTCAGCAGTCATGGACAGCGTCCGCTCTAGGCGTGGCCGCTCCTCCTCGTGTAAGCGCCGCCAAAGGAGGAGGAGGCCGCAGCCACCAGCGTAGACGGAGGGGAATCCGTACTGTAGCACGCCAGGATGCAAGGTTGGAGGAACTAGTCTATTCAAGGGATGCTGCAGCACGCTGAGCAAGACATCGGCCTTCCGCAGTTGGAGGTAAGCCACCGAAAAACCTCCGAGGAGAAGCGACCCTTCGAACCATCGCTTCCACATGCCATCCAGGACTTTGCGTAGGAGCGAGGGCTCCTTCGGCTTCGATTTCGGGGGCTCGCGCGCCCACGCGAAGCTGCAGCGGAACCGGAAGTGTGCGCGGATCCCGAAGTGGTCGCTCAGGTATTCAAATGGCTGGCCCGTCACTTCGAAAGGCTCCACTTCTGAGTGCGCGTGCTCCACCAGCGAACTGACCGTAGGCCGATAAAAGACCTGAGCACTGGTCCCAGTCCACGATTCTGCACCCTCATGTGCCTTCCAGACTCCCCAAACAAACCAAAGGAACAAATCGAAGGTGCGTGGATTGCTTGAGGTCTTAGTCTTTACGAAAGCAACCAAGAACTCGAATGAACATTCTCTGACCAGATTGGGCACATAGTCCAGCCGCTGCGGGTACTTATGCCGGGCCACGTAGCCTGCGGACAATTCAAAGCTAGCTGTTAAGTTGTCTAAGTCTTATTCTCATGAAAACATTTAAAAAACACCTAGAAAACAAGCCAAACCCTGAAGTCAGCTACAGCGTGGGGGGCAGGCGGCGAGATAGGAAGGGCGGGAGTGGGAGGGGCGCGCTTCCTATCCAAAAAGAACCTCAAACAATTCAACTCAAAAATCCATGTGTTCGCTCGGGGCCCTGTCACTTGCCAGCAAGAGGAATCAGCTCTTCAGGGTCGGGCTTCCTGAAAGTCTTTGCCATGAGGTGGATTTCGCACTTTGGACCCCTTGGCACTGCTGTTTTTGCTCGCTCATCTCAGCAACGCCACGTTCAATTAGAGGGCTTCGGGCTGAGGATGATGTCTTCAAAACATCTGGACCTCAGTGGCCTCACCTAAACTGCCATGGCCTGCCGAGGAGGGCATGCGAAGCCGCGGCGGCCGGGTGCAGGGATGGCGCTTGCCCACGGGTGACTCCTAAGGAACAGGATGCCAAAAACAAAGGGCCTCTAGCTGTGAGTGAGCGTGGGGGTTATAGGGGAACGACCCTTTCTGAGTTTTTTACGGCAAAACCGTGCCTTCCCGAGCGGGTCTTGCAGTGTAGGCCCACAGAGCAGGTCGACCAGCCGCCCACGCGGGTCTAAAGCAGAGACTAGGCGCTGGTAATCCTCAGACTCCTCAAGCAAAAGGGGCTTCCGGGCCCAGGGTCTTGGCTTCACGACGACCCTGGCTACAGCTACAGGTTGCGCAGATTCCACGGGGATGCTGTCAGCAGCACGAGCTGAAAGATAACCAAAACATGATGTAAAATCATACATGGGGCCTTGGGACCTTGGTCACTTTTCCCGTATGAAAGCCCCCGGAACTCGTGCCTGGCGCGGCGGCCGGAAGGGGATTCCATATGTGCCCATGGGGTCCGAAGGCTCAGGGATGGCGTCGACGTTGAAGTCCCCCGTAAGGACCTTACAGGGAGGTGGTTCGGGCCTTGGGGCCAGCGACTAGTCAAGGGTTTCTTGCAGTTGTGAAGCCTCCGCTATTCCGTGTTTTTACCTTGCAAGTAGCACAAGTCGAAAATGCAAAATTCGAATCTGAATCGACGGACAGGACAATGCAAAGGTTGAAGTCGACGTTGCAGCTACTGTTGCTTGTACAAATGTGAAATCTGGTCATACATGATCGCTGCAAATGCCCTTTCTGTAGGGCAAGAGCCAAAAATCCACACAGGCTTTAGGCTCAGTGCTGCTCAGTCTACCCCCCTTTCTCAGACCTTGCACATATGCCCTGCGATCGTTTGGAGTCTCCCCCCAATGGCGTCTGAGCAGCATAGGGATGCTCCGTGCCAGCAAGCTCGATGAACTCCCGCAGCTCCTACGGAAGAGGGGATGGAAAAGGAATGGTGCGCGCATCAGCCCGTTTGGTGGCAATGAATTTCCGGGCTCATCAGAGAATGGGAATGAAGATTTCTGAAACACCGAGCGCCCGCGTCGAGAACGCTTTTCATAACCGCTTGCCACCCCCTCCCCCTTCCCCCTTCCCCGCATGATGCACTTTCGGCCTCGTTTTGGTTGATGTGCGGTGGGGGGGGGGGTTTCCAGAGAATCGGGCTGGAGTGTGGGGTCCCGGTACTCCGGATTCATTCTGGAAATCTGGAGCCTGGAGTTCGGGTACTCTAGAGTTCTGGAAATCTGGAGTCTGGAGTCTGGGTACTCCAGATTCGAGACTCCATGTTCTGGAGTCTCGGGTCCCGGTACTCCAGATCCATTCTGGAAATCTGGAATCTGGAGTCTGGGTGCTCCAGACTTTATCTAAGTACCTGTGTCTTGACCCGGAATTCGCTTTTTGGTTACGGTCGTTTCTAAATAATGAGATTTTGTCCCTCCCCGCGTTTTGTTTTTTAAAACGCTTGTGATGCTGAATACCCGTTTCAGGCGTATTCTATCCACAACAAGCAAAACTTGATATCTCATATGTGTTAGATATGTAATGCTTTATCCACAACATCTTATCTTAAGGTAAGCCTCCCGACAAGCACAACATGGTATGTCTATGGCTTAGCTACGTTGCGCTTCGTGCGAAACATCTTATCTCAAGCTATCATACCCATCTCCCCCCGAAAAGCAAAACTAAATCCATGAGAGTCATTGCGGATGTTTTCTCTCGTGTATTGCCCTCCCAATAATCAGCGCAGAAGAAAAATGAAGATTCTATAGTGGAAATACTGAATATAGCTAGCATAATATACTGGGCTTAATGACCCTAAAAAGCAAACTTAAAATATGAAAATTCTCAGTTATGGTGTATCGAATATATTCTTGGGGTTCTCCTCTCCCACAAGCAGCGTAAAGCCTGACATTGTCTGGGTTTTCGGGTGATGTAAAGAATACAAAATTGCATACTTACTCAACTGACTCTGAACAGTACAATTGCCCTGGTCAAATACCTTGTGTCGAACATAGCAACACAATGAATATGCGGATACAGCGAATAAACAGCAGATATTTCGTATGCTGACTATAGCGGATGCAATGAATGAATATCATGAAGAAAATGAAGATAGGATGAATACTAGGGTGAGTTACAAGGATAAAACGAATATTGAATATACTGATTATGCTGAACAGAATGAATACAATATCATGAGCTTAATGCCTTATATTAATGCTAGAGGGTAGGTATACGATGATGTCTTGCATAATTAGTCGAACCTAGATAAGCAAAACGTTCCGCCTATTCTTCGATACCGAAAAACAGCTTTTTTACAACAGAGTATAGCTTTCACTGCACCTTACCAAGAAAAACACATACTCAGATAAAGAAAAACCTAGAGAAACCATCGTTGTGGATCCTAGAGGGCGGAGTGACTGCATAACCCCAGCACAGCATTGCCTATCCCACGTGCGCATCTCATCCGGCATTCAGGCCCACAGTGGGCTCAGATTCAGCCGGAGGGGGGAGGAGGAGGAGGAGGACGAGGAGGCTAGGCGCAGTGCACATTGCAGGCAGTCATGTCTCTGCAGGTGCTGCTACTTCATTTCGAGGTGCAAAGTGTCTCAGGAAGGCGCCCATGCAGAAACGGACAGCCAAAGCGATGTGCATTTTTACCGAAGTCGACTTGGTGCAAGTCGTGAAGGTCCGAATCCATGACGGATCGGCGGAGGCGGAGTGGTCTGCAAGCCAGAGCATGTTTTGACAGATCGTTGCGACCGGCAAATGTTGCAGCGCCATCCTCTTTCAATTGCTCGAAGCCCCAACGCCGGACCGGTGAAGGACAATCTTGAGCATCCGCATCTTGTGGAGGGCACACTTGATCATACAAAGGGTCTCCGTCCAGGTCTTGCTAATGAGGCAGACGCCAGTACTCGCTTCTCTGCCTATGTGCCCAAGTTGTAGGATGTTTTCGGACCCCATCACCATCAGCCGTGCCTCGACCTCTACAAAGTGCCCCTGCGTACGGGCGCGGGGAGTTGCGGGCCCTCGCAAGTGACCCAAGCGCACTGCACTGCACCAAGGAAAAACCAACGGTCAACGACATGCCGAGGATGCCCCCATCACGCCCACGCGACATGCTTGGCCCTGTGACATGTGCAAGTCGCAGTGCAAGCCTTGTTTTGATGCAAGAAAAAGGGAAATACTTAGAAATCCTTGGCCAAAAGGACGAAACAGGAACAAACAAAACAAAGGCGTGTAGCAACGCAACCAGACATTGCGGAACTAAAGCCTGCAGATGTTTGCCGCATTCACTCGTTTGTTTTGGCATGACGATGCATGACGTGGCCTTTTGGGCCAGGAAAGAAAGAACCCCATCCCGCGCTGTCCTTCAGCTGAGACCGGCGAATGCGGTCGAAGACATCACCGTCTGCACCTGTGTGTGAAGCTTGGAGGTGGCAGTTGAACCTCAGAAAAGGCGCGGGGAGGGAAGGGGGAGGAGGGAAGGGGGAGGGAGCGCTTAGCAAGGCTCAGTATCGCATCACGTAGGCTTATAAGCTTCTGCAAGTAAGTCAAAGTGACACGTCCAGGTATCGTCCGGAGGCCAGTTCCACTCGTGCCCACATGGCGCCTGACGGCCAAGCCCCTTGCATCTCTCAATCATTGGGCTGACGATTCGCAATCCACTGTCACGGTTCACAATTCCTTAGACTTCTTGCCTCCAGTCACAAGTCACCAACCCCCTCGCACCCGATCCAACCCGTGGCCTTTGCATGCACCAGCGTCCAGAGCTGCTCCAGACGCAAAGCGAATCGAACGCGTCTCTGCAACAGGCAGCCGACTGAAGATGACTAGTCCACTGTCGGTCCACTTGCCTTTGAAGCTGCGGGAAGTGAGCAAGACCAGGATGGGAGAATCTACAATGGTGGACTTGGCTATTTTTGGAGAAGTGATGTTCGCAAAACGCATGCCAATCCCGGAACTCAAGAACGGTGGGCCTTCCCAACCTCGAAGAAGACACTACTCTTCACGTAAACCCGGCATGTTCCGATCCATGCCTCGCCGAAGCAGGTCCATCACCTTAGGCTGAGAATGGTATTGTGGTCAGTTAATTGCCGACAAAGGTTCTTGTGCAACTTGTAGGATGAATTTGGGGGCTCAGGAAAAATGGTGATTGGGGAGGGAGATTTTCCTTCCTCCCTCCCTCCCTCCCCCCTTTCCTCTCAACAAGTCTGCCCTGACGGACTCAGCTGGAGCCGCTGCAAAAGTCACCCTTCTCGCTGTGATACTGCAAATCCCTCGATGGTGGAAACCTGTACCATGAAGCAGCCTAAGCTTGGGCCAAGTCTTTTTCATGGCCAGAGGCGCCGATGGTTTGGGCCCGATGACGGCGTGGTAGCCCAGGGAAGCCATGGTCCCTCGGCGTTAGAAAATTCAAGTGAGTCGTGTGCAAGCCTTCACCTACACGACACATCGGCATGGGAGCATGTGCTCCTTCACACTTCGAGTGGCCGCCCTGCTTAATTGCTTTGCCTTCTGATATAAAAATCCTTTCGGTCATGACCGGGTGCTGACAGCTGCCGACTGCGCGCAGAAGCAGGGCACGAAAGGCGAGGCGAAGAGCTCCTGTCGGCCGAAGAACTTACCCTAAAACCGAAATGAGCTGGTGTCCGTACGAGAGGCTCTTTCCTTGTCTGCACAGTCTTGCCAAGACCTTAATCAATGCCACAGCGAACAGGAGAACTATCGAGTGCGGCTTCACAAACTCTAACCGTCATTGCTAAACCTTCACAAGAGTTGTTGGGACAGATTGCTAGGGTCAGCTACATGCTCGTGCGAAAACCCTTCAACCCTCCACTCTGACACATTCAACTCGATTCCAATCCATGCTCAAGATTACTGGTGAGAAAGGCTCCTGCACGGCAATCACATCCGGCGCTCGGAACCGCTCCTCACAACAATCACAGCAATGGCCCTGGGTCTTGCACGGTCACGTACAGGATGCTTTACCCGCGACTGCAAGCAGAGAACGGCCACGCATCTCAGAGCTCGGTGACGTGCCCTTTCAACCTCCTCAGAACCCTCCGAAGCCTCCAATGAGCAAAAGACTATCAAACTCAAACGCAAAGAGCGTCTCCCCAAGAGGCCTTGCTGTCAGGATCGCATCGACGTGCTCCGGCCTCGGCCTTTGCTGGAGTCCCTCTCCCTCTCTTCCCGTTCCTGGCTCTGCTCCCCCTTGCCACTTCCTCTTCAGATCACCCCTTGAAGCCCGAAAACGCGCGAAGACATATCTGAGAGTGTAACAAGTCCGTGTGACAAGTTGCAGGCCATCATTTTGACGTCATCCCGAAGCTTCTTAAAGCTCCGCCCAGCCTGCAGGTCGCTTTTGACTTGTGCCAGGAAGAGATGGAGCCGCGCGCTGCTGTGGAGGCTCTCGTGGCCTCCCAGGCAGCAGAGTGCAAAGAGAGTGACAGCGTCAGGACAGCGTGTAGACAAATGCAATGCAAGGCAATACAATGCAGTATGATGCATTCTGCATGCTCAAAACCGCTACACCCCCTTAGAGTCCTCTTCGAGCCAATGCTACCCTTCCAAAATTATGTTGCCCCTTCTCACATGTTAAACCCAAGTCTTGTAACAATATGTTACACACATGCCCTCCCACCCACCCAGAGCGGAGAAGGCCGCTCCCCGGCCTCGGAGCGATGCGACGCCGAAGGGGAGGATGTTCAGGTTGAAGGACCTCTCGGCTCGAGATCTGGGGGTTTTTCTCACTTGGGTGAGAACCCTTAAAGACACCACCAGTACCCCCCCCCCCCCCCCCCGCAAAAAAAAAAAAACACCAAAAACACGGCAGAAGAAACGCCGAACTAGTCAAGAAACCAACGTCTACTTAAGATCGCCCAAGGGACAGGATGTTCAAGCCATCAAAGCCTGGCCCGAGGGCAGGATTGCCATAACGAGGTTGCGATCGGAGCTAAAGCACAGGCTTGGGACGTCAGTACTATTTGTAAAGCTTCCATTGTTGAACAAACGACCAGGGATTAACGCGTGATAGCCCATCTTTCTGCTTTTGGGCCACCTTGGATACATGGCTCCAGCTCCCCGCACTCGAGCTCGTTCCACCTCTTCTTGGGCACGCAGAGCAAGGCCTGCTCCCTCCTTGGAGCGCATTTCGGCAGAGGGGGGCGTGTAGGGGGTAGGAAGGGTCCCTGGGCTTTCGTCCGCACATGCTTCTTCGAACAAACCTCACAGAAACTCACAAAACTTGCACGGGCAGACGTCCTGCAACAAATCCTTATGTTTGGCGTGCCCGCACCCTCATCTCGTGTCGCTTCGTTTCGCCTGGCTTCACCTCGTTTCACCTTGTTGTACCTCGTTGTACAGTTTAAAGTGTCGGGATCTGAGTGCGGGCCTTAACAGCCTAAGGAAGTGACATGGCTCAGGCTGCATTGCTGGTAGACCTGATCGGCAGTGAACTTCTGCAGTCGCCGCAGCATGTCCAGGTGTGCATTTCCAGAAGCCCGGGCTGAACGTCCATGCGATTGAAGTCCGGCCCGCTGGTATTCCTAATGTTCACAGGAAGGGTTCATAGTCGCTGTTCGTTGCATGCAAAAGCAAGCCGCTTCCAAAAAAGAAATTGAAGATATTGAAGTGTTCGCACGAGTTGCATTGACGAAGTCAAGCTCGGATTGCTTCAGCAGCTCGTCGATTCGCCACCATGATACTTTGTGAAACATGGGGCAAAGCTGTGCTCGCAAAGCTTCGGGAATCTCAAAGAGCTTGTCGCCTGCAAGGGTGCAGAAGGCTGCCAGGCTGAGGGCTGAAGCTGTTTTAGGGAGACTCTACACATACTCTAATCATCGCTCAATCGACCAGGGAGAGATGTTTTGCGGAAGCTACCTACGGTCGTGGCCTTTGGCGTCACAGCACTCCTGTTGAGCTTCCAGGAACTGGTTGAGCAGATTCACCAGGCGCTCGGACGCCATACGGCTCATCGAGCAGACAAAGTGGAATGTCTTGTGCGCACCACTGGCCTGGCGGAGGCTATGTGTTTTCGACCAAAACCCCGCGAACTAGTTTCTGCCTCTTGCCCCGCTTGCTCCACTTGCTCGGGTCTTGAAGCAGAAACCACTATGTGCCACTTGCCCTAACCCCAATCTGCCATGTGCCCCGCTTGACACTTGCTCCACTTGCCCCCGGCTGCCCCGTTCCCGCTCCCATTCCTCCCTCCTCTCAGCCACCCATCCCCATGGCTCTTCTTGGCAAGTCTGCCTTAACTTCGCTTCTCCCGGCCACGGCTCAAGAATTTGCTGCTCGGACAGTGAAGCAGAATTTCTGGTTGAGGGAGCTCTCCCTCCCCACCCCATCAGTGTCTCCCCGCCCCCGGTCCTAACTCTTCCCTTATGTAAGTGTACTTTCAGGCTTGCTATTCTTACCCGCGATACCGACAAGTTTCTTTTGCAAGTGCAAGCAACATGGTGGTGTAAATGCTTTTTTTACGTTCCATGAGAATACATGTTGTCAACATCGGCAGCCATGACCTGAGCTTGGGTGTCCAAGTTTGTTCACACGTTGTCGGCAGTAGCCGTCACTGTCGTTGTCATCACCACCACTTAAAACGTGTGCGCATGTGTGTGCGGGAGGAAGGGAGGGAGGGAGGGAGGGAGGGAGGAATCCTTATAGAGGACGGCTGGTAAGCCCTCAACTCGACAGAAACCCTGGACTTTACCGTCAGCTCTAAACCTCGTCGGACACCCTAAACCCTAAGCCGAGCTACTTGAGGATCTCAGGTTTGGGTTTGTTGGGGCTTGAAATTTCCTACACATGGTCCTCTTCAAGCCAATAAAAGGGAAAAGGCTATCTTTAGGGTGGTTACATGTTCCCTCAATATGGGCCCGGGTTGAGACTGTGCTGCTGCTATCAGGCCTGCAACGTGACGTCAAACAGCATCGCACGCATCGCCGCGAAGCCCAGTTCCTCCCTCTCTGCCACGTAAGATCCTGCGTCCATGAAGGAGCCATTGTTTCGTTCAATGATTGGGTTCCTGGAACTATTGCCAGAACTAGCTGTGAGGTCTCACACAGTGTTTTGCCCTTTGCAATCCTCAGCGAACTTTACCAAAAACCCTGCAACCAAGGCACGGATGTAGCGTTGTGCATTCCGCAACCCTGCGCTAGTGAGACCTGTCTCGGATCGAGTTGGTGCACATTTATGTCGAAGCAAAGCAGGTCTGCGCAACGTGAGGCTGGCGGCGATTGAGGCCCCGGCCACGGATTGCGGTGTCCAAAGGGGTCCTTTGCTGCTGTTGGCATCTTTATGCAGATCTTGCCTCGCTAATCGTTGGCCTGCTCTTTCAGCTCACCCTGTGGGCAGTAACAGATCGCACCAAGAGTCACGTCCACCGCAGGCTTGTAAAGGGCCCCCAGCAGCCGAAACTCTCCAGGAAAATCGACGAGAACATGTTTGCCCGGCTCGGACTTCAAGTAGTTCAGAACCTAGCGAGTCCAAAAAGGTTCACAAACGTGATGGTCTGAACATCGTCTCAAGGTCGATGATTTGTAGCTACTGCCTTTGCTGTTGTCCCCACCTTCTGGCAAAAAACGTCTAGAAGATTTTAGAAGTTCACAGTACTCGGCACTGTTGTGATACAAAGGGCATGTTTGGAGCGGTCGAGTTTTAGCCAATACATCCACGCCAACATCAACACGCACAAGAATCTCCAACCCCATTTCCCAGAAAGTTCAGCAAGTCCAACCGAAATAGATTTCAGGACTGCCTTAAGAGCTTGCAAGTGGCTGTATTCTGTGCACAAAGCACTTCGAGGCTGCCGTCCGTTGCAGAGCGGATGGGCCTGGGCAATATGCTGAAACGAGCACCACTTCAACTGATCATGGGTGAGCCAGTCAAACTCAAGATAAGAAGGCTTTAGTCTATGGTATCGACAGACAACCCTCAGAACATGGCCGCGGGCCCCTGAGCACTCAAATCCCAAATCCAAGACTACCGTTCGACCTTAGCACGTTATGTCCGAGTCACACCAAGGTGGCACCCAGCCGGCATATGGCGCTGTCGCCGCCACGCTTTTGGGACTGGCCATCCTGTCGCAAGGACGTGCGTAGGGTTTCACCACCACCACTAACACTACTACCACTCCTACTACCAGTACCACTACCACTACCACTAACCACTACCACGACCACGACCACTACGAGCACAAACCCGAAACCCCACGCCTTGAACCCTTCAAAGCTCCTTGTTGCTGGCCCAACTCTGTGCACTTGGCAAGGCTTAGAGGCATACACTGCCAGCCTGCGCCTAGTCTAGGTGTCCCAGAAATTGCAGGTGATTTGGCTTAATCTACAACTGACAAGCTTCTTGGGGCGTTTGTGCCTTTCTCGCACAATGACCGTATCGGTTCCTAACCCACCAATACAGGAACGGGGGTGGGTCTGTCTTTTCCCACACATTACCTGCTGAGAAGACCACATTTCATATGACGGCGTCAACGCAGTGGCCGGTGTTGGACGAAGACGGGAAAGCGAACTAAGGCGAACCAAAGGCTGCAGGCACGGGCACGGTGAGGAGAAAACTGAGGCTGGCCAGCGACGCCAGGCGCAGTGGAAGCTGAGTACAAATCTGTGAACAGAAGTAACACTCAGCCTTGACCGCCGGGACGCCGCGTCTGCCGGCGGCGGCCACTCCACCTTCTGAGCTGGCTCGCCTTCGTTGAGGTGCTGGGAGCCTTCGTCACAAATGCTCCTAGTCTTGCTCGCGCATAGCCTAGTTAGGAAGCGACGTAGGGTCCTGAGCCAGAGCACTCGACTGCCGCTCAAGGTTACGTTGCTGAGCCAGCGCCGACGGACTCCGCTTCTTGCATAGTTTCGGCGGGCGTCAAGACCCTTCCTTGAGAGTTTCTCAGCCCGCACATGACCGCAGTCTTTTTTGTTTTAGCAGGCCATTTCCAGACCGGGCCGTCCTGTTGGAGCATGTTTTGCTCCCAGTCCTTGAGACGCTGTTGCATTTGCGACTTTCAAGGCTAACGAGCGCACCCTGCAGCCATTGTCGCAGTTCGGGCAGAGCATTAGGGTCAAAGGGGTCAAGCGCACGTCCAAGCAAGTAAGGCAGCTTCCCCGAGCACACAGCGGGTCAAGGTGGCTTCGGGGCACGGACGCCATTGCTCGATGCGCCCGCCAAACGTCAACATGCGCCAGTTCACTGTGCTCAAGTGCATCCATCTGCGTCACGGCGAAAGGCGGTTGCTGGAACACGCGCTGGGTCAAACGAACAAACCGCCCGATAGACATGGCTCCGCCCGCGAAGCCACCTGGGAGGAAGAAGATTCGTTGCGAAGCGTCTCCGAATGCACGCCTCAAAAAGGCGTGGGCCACCATTGTCAATATCGACGTTCGGAACGCCTTTCCTTGGTGCTCTCAACTCGACTTCCTATCCCTCTTCCAGTATCGCCGGGCGTTGGAGGTGAGCAAAGCGACGGACTGCAAATGTGAGCGCCTTAACAGCATCATGAGGGTGTGGCCTGGACGTCAATGCATGCCAATCTTCTTTTCCAGCCACTTGAGAGTGCTGCGTGCCTCTTTGCGGCTGTAGGGCCATGCTCCCGCAGCGACCGTAGCCAGAGAGCAATGTGGGCTGCGGAGGGGCGCCATGGAGGAACGCCGCTTCCATCTTCGCGCCACGCGGAGCGCAGACACAAGTGTTGCGACCACGCACAAATCGTCAAAACATGTCGCAAACTTGTCCTTATCGCTGGCGCAGAGGGACATATAATCCTTTTTTACGGGCTTCCTCCTTCGCCCAACTGCAAGAGCAACTGCCACAACTCATGACAAGTAGGAACGACAGCGGTCTGCTCATGAAGTTGCAGACTGTTCATGTGTGATGACACTCATCGAGCTCGGCTGCCCTCATTCGGAGACGCTTTGCCTGGTGTCGTTGACACAACATCACCCAAGAGACGAGAAGATGACTGAGGAACGGTGGGACCTGGGCCACATGTAACAGGATCTGAAGATCTCAGAATCCTAACCGCATGCACGAGACCTGAGCAGCATCCATCAGCATCCCACAATGCTCGTAACTCAGCAAGCGCAGATTCGCTGGTGTGTTCTGCCCTGCGAGCGTTGGTTTTGATGATGAAGTCGATTCCACAGCCCATAATGCAGCTGCGAGCCCCAGACTGAGGGCATTCACCAGCCATTGAGGGGAGGACAAAGCACCAGAACTTTGGAGAACATTTGACCCGGCATTGTGGCTGCGGAGTCTTCGACATAATATGTCACACCGCAATCAAACAAGCAATAAAGTACTGTGAGCACACACGAAGCGGATTGAAACAAAGGAAAGAATGAAAACGACACAGACCCAGCAGAACCATCCAACCTGCAAGGGGAGAGCACACTCGAAGACTTTCAATTGCCTGACGTCCCCATCAAAAAAGCCGAGATAGTGCCTCCTGGAACCAAGCACGCTTTGGCGAGCGGTCCTTGGCCACGTGGCTGTGGGCAATCGTAGTGACGGACATCCCAAGCTTTCAAGGTAGAAGTTTCCATGGGCGTTGCGTCAATTCCTGAGTCGTTGAGGGTGAGCCTTCAACGGTGGAGCTTCACACCCACAAAAACACCCTGAAAATCCCTGAGCTCTCCCAACTCTAGTGACTAGTGACCTACAAAGGCCAGCCTACATCCCCCATCCCCCCACCTAGCCTCCAGGTCCATGGCGTCGCTGGGCACCCGCGATCGTGGCACAGTGGACTCGTGGCTGCCCTCACGTGGGGGGGGGGGGGGGGGGGGGGGGATGTAATGTGTGAAAGGAAGGGATGCTTTAACTGTGCGCCTCTAAACCCGACGATCCAATACCCTTCCCCCTCAAAGCGGTCCTTTCGGGAAGGCTGTGGCGTGCGCGGGGAGTCTGCCATGGCCCGGGCTCCAAAAAAGGTGGCCCAAGGGGGCCCCACGGGAGCTCAAAGGGCTGAGTGCATGGGGGTGTGAGGGACGTCCTTGTCATATCTTGTTACTCCTCAGGGGTGAAGCATGGGATGGCATTGGCATATTTAGCTGATATTGGCATGCATTTGTAAAGGCTCGGGGCTGGAATGGGGCCGAACTTGCTGGGGATTCACCCCATGGCCCCCTGGAACTGTGCTTTCGCAATGAGGTGCAAACAGTCGGTACAAGCCGAGAGCGGCTTAGGCGCAAAGCCTTCCACAGCAACGAGCACATCCACAAATCACACATCATGACATACCCGGCATTAAACTGGATTCAAGCGAAGACTTCGTCCATTCCTGAAAAGAGACCGCCAGCCTGCCTCGCGCATTTTCAGATCCATGTCCTGAGCAGTTTGGACAGGTCATCTGTGAAAGGGTGCTGGGCTTGTGGCTGATAGTGCAGCTTGGCATTGCGAGTACATGACGGTGAGAGACTTGATGCCGGATGACTTATCCGCTGTGTGGTCGTTTGTGTCGGCCCCTGGTTCTTGAGCCTGTGATCAGCTTATACTAGAAGCACACAGCCCACACCACGTCTCAAAGGAGCCTACCACAGGACCTCATGTGAAGCAAAAGGCAGAAGATACAAACCAAAACCGAGATCTACAGAGGCGTTGCATGCAGTGGTTCTGCTGGCAAGCCCCAACGTGCGCATCTAAGAACGTTCCGCCGTCTTCGGCGACTCTTTTGTGTCAACTGTGCTTGGTCTTGGTTGACAGTTTGGCATGGAGATGTGGTGACGCTGTTAGGATTCAGGGTGGCCCACAGACCGAAACGACCTTCAGTTTTTTTTTTTGGGACAGCGAAGAGAGGAGCTCCTTTGGGCCCTGTTTTTTTGCTCACCCTAAGAGCTTTGTTTGGGCACTCTGCAATGTGAAAGCATTAGCAAGAGGCCCCCCTGGACACAAAGCCGCTTGAAGCGCTCTCAAGTTCCCAAAGCTCCCCTCTGTTTCAGCGGCTCAGGGGACTCAGAGGCTGCGGCTGTGGCAATGTGGAGCACTGGAAGGTTGCCTACGTCCTTGGCAACCTCGAGGATAGGGAGCAGATCCTGGCATTCACAACGCCGCGAAACACAGCAACGCGATGTCACGCAAAATGCAGCGGCAACGCACGACGTCCCTACGTTTCGGTATCCACATAGACATTGCAAAGGAGGCGAGGTCATGGTCGGCAGCTGTATCAAATCTCTTGACTGTCGGCATTCAGCACTCTTCAGCACTCTAAGAATCTTCCCAAACCCGTCCATGTGGTACACAGTTACCTCGGATCATCGAAATCCAAGCTGGCGTGCTTGGTGCGCTTTTGTGCTCCTGGAACTGCACGAAACTCACCACCCCATCTTGAGCGCGCGGCCACGATGTCTGGTCTCTGCTCCAGGAGCACACTTCGAAAGGCGTCCTCGACAAGGGTGGCCGTGAAGGTTCAGCCGGCTGAGCCCTAAACCTCCTAAGCCTTCTTTGCCCTTAGGCCCTCTCCTTCGTTGGACTGTTGCAGCTCGGAGAAGGGCACGGCGAATTCCAACGGCCGAAGAAAAGAGAACCTTGCTGGGGGTCATTTAGGTTGCGGGCTGAGGGCCTGCAGAGATGTGCAAGATTGTGCAAGACGTAGAGATTTAGGGATTCGAGAAGGTGGGCGCAGCTTTGACTCAGAGGTATCATGAGCCGACCAGTTCCTTCAAGTTTTTTCAAGCATCGGGCCGACCGACTCAAGCATGTTCTGGATGCTGTACATCTTCCTTATGCCATGAACGCAAGCTGCAAGACAGGGACATAAAGAGTTGAAATCTGCCAATGGAATAGAGCATCGGCACCAGGAGTGTGAGACTCCGGCCACCGCAGAACCATTCGGTTGTACCAGACGTCCATGAGGCGTGCTGCGCGCAAACGGAGCTGCACATGAGGCGTGGCCCAGCCAGCAATCAGAAATCGTAGCTGTCAGTGAGAAGCAAGATTTGCCGTGTGGATCTGAGCTGCAACCTGCAAAGACCCTTAATACCTTAATTGTGCCATGTGCTTAAGGCGAGCGGGCACAAGGTCGAGGCAGAGGCTCTGGCTACCCAGTCTCCTGTGCAGCGAGTCCTGGGGAACAGCTTCCATGTCCGCTCGGCGAGACATCAGTGAGTCTGAGAACTCAGAGAACTCTGGAACAAGAGGGAAAAAAAAAGAAACTAGCGGTAAAGCCAGCAAATCACAAGCAGCTGGATCGGGAGAAAGACCATCGAGCCCTCAGCCACCTGAACCTGGTACTATGTCTCTCATGGTCTCAAGGGCTCCTCGAAGCGAGGGTCATGCGTGGTGTCAACAGCCTCCACGACGAAGCCTGCTGCCTCATGGTCGGAACTCAGGGTTTGGGATTTCAAGGTTTACACAGCTTACACTGTGGGGATCTTGGGTTTAGGGTCACGTGTTGTTGGGTTACAGCTTTCGGCGTTAGGTTGGCTTCGGCTAGGTTGGGTCTTCGGATGTGGGTGGGGACTCAGTCAGGTTTGGCTTTGGGGTAGGGGTCAAGGGATGAGTCAGGGTTGTTGGGTTATGGGTTTCGTTTAGTTAGGGCCACGGGTTTAGGATTTGTTGGGTCACATGAAGCAGGATGATTCGCCTGAATCAGGCAAAGGGTGTTTCGAATCAGTCTTCACCGCTCCATGGTCAAGTCCCGCCTTCAGGAAGTCTTGGACTGCCTGCTGTGCGGACTTGTGGCCATCGCCGTAGCTGCAAGTGAAAATGACCTTGGGAATGCTAAGTTGCCTAGAATGCTGCCGGGTGGAAGAGGGATCGGTGTGGATTCTGTGTGGATGAGATCACGACAGCAAAGCAGCGAAATACAAAGAAACACAGCAGATCGATCGAGAGAGCGAGAGAAGGAGATTGAGTTAGAAAGTCTAGGAGAAGCATGGCTTAAGTCGAAGGGTGAAAGCAAGAAAATACATATCATGGCCAGGGTACGGCCCTGCGCGAGGCCTGCGCCTGCAGACCTTGTGCCAACACCGTCTGGCCTGGCTGCGGGCACTGTGTCTTGCAAGTGCCTCGCACTATCGAGACAACTCTGACTCTACTATGCCCCAAATTGCTAGAGCGCAGCGGGGGAGAAACCTGATCGGCGCGCAGTGGCATATCATATCCGGCTGATTGCGCGGAGCACAACTCTCACAAATCTCACAGCCGAGGGTGTGCCTCCTGCTGGCTTGCGCTGCTGCTGCGCGAGCCCGTGGAAGAAGTGAACGAAGTTGTCGGCCTGCGCGGCGCTAGCAGCTGGATTTCTTTGGTTCAGGGCTTAGGTGACTCTCACGTCGTTTGCTCGATGCTGGGCTTTGAATGCTAAAAGTACTTGAAGTTAGCGGTACGGAGTTTCAAACTTTAAAGGCGTGAAGACCGTCTAAACTTAAAACGAGAAGGCACACCAGCCTGAGCAAGCACAGGGCATTGAGGTTTCTGGACTTGGGGTCCGAGTCCGTTTGTGCCCGGCACAGTTCTGAACTAGTGCCTCCTCTTGGGGCACCGATGCCAGCTCGTCCTGGATCGAACACGCGAAGTGCAAAACCGTGCAAAGCAACTGAGTGGAACCGAAAGCCCAGAGCCTAGACGTGCCGAGACATGTCCAGACATGTCGAGTGTTGGTCGAGTGGCTGCGCTCATTGCCCGCAGCCGCTTGATCCTGGGACATGGACTGATTGGGAATGCGAGCCTCGTGGGAGGCTCTCCTTGACTTGGGCGCAGAGTTGAGAAGGAAAACCATGGCATGTGAAGTTTGCCCGCACAATAGTTTCTTATGTTTTCTGGGCGCCTATCACTCCGCCACTGATCTGAGCACTTATGCAATTGGATACTCCGCGACAGGCCGCAATAGTTCCAACATTTTCTGGCATGTAGGTGCGCGGCGCGTAGGTGTTCCGCATGCATGTTCGATTGAAGAATTCTTGATTTACAAGGCCCGGGCAGTCGGAGCTGGTAGTTCTTTAGAAAGGGCGCTGCGAAGGGGAGACAATCAAAAATTGTGTTCTCGCCTCGGGAACTCGTTTTTTCTTTCAGGAGATGTCAAAGGCCTGAAACAATTCTCTGTTTCCAGGAAGCGGAACTCCGCAGCAGAATTCTTTGCAGGGCTCGCTTCAGCTTGCGCAGCGTTTTCTTCAAGACATCGTATGTCAGTGGCCTTGGCAGGCTCGCAAGGCCCACTGTGAGATCTGCTCTGTCAGTGCTGTGTCAGCTCTCGCAAGCAAGTGTGTCCAACTTGCTTGTACCCTTCGACTGCCGCCGAGCCAGGTTTTCAGCGAAAGCTACGGGCGGTGCAAGGTTTGCGTGCCAGCAAGAGTATTGAGAGTTTTGTTCTTCGACTTCTTCACTTCTCACGTGCTTCACGAAAACTTGGGTCTGATTGAGTCACAGCCTGGTGGCGGAGAGTCTGCACAGGCATACTTCCAGGACTTGTTGCCATCTGCGAAGACGACGACTGTGTACCTTGAGGCCTGCTTCGGTGGATGGACGAAATCTTGCACCACCGATTGCACGCCAAGCCCCGCACCCCCTACTTAACTTTGGTAGCTGGGACTACTTGAGCGGTGCAAGATTTCGGCCAGTGGAACAAGCCCAGCGCATAGCCTTTCAGGGCCAATGTTAAAAAGGGGGTGCGGGGAATCATGAAACGGCATTTCTGAAAAGTGGTGCAAGATTTTGTCCATCCACAGTTCTTGCTTTGCAGCAATTATATACCCCCGCCCCCACTCCTACGCCTGTCGCTCATGACAGTCCTAAAACCTGGAAAGCCAAGGAAAACGCGCACGGATATGCGCTGTGCTCCGACAGGACTTGTCATAGCAACAGAACCTGTTTGGCCGCGCCTGCGAATGTCGTCCGCCAGCTGCCAGATCGCACCCTTCCAAATTCAGAGAGGGTCTCATGGGGTGGCAGATTGGGTAATGCCATGAAATGCCCTATGGTGAGAAGAAGCAAGGGCTGCCGAGGCCCAGGCCCGCAAGAGGCTGGGATTTGCCGCATTCCGCTCCTGGAGCTCATGGGCTGTACACACAGACGAATGCAACGCTGCCTCTGCTAGACAAATAGCCCCTAAAGCAGAAAAAATTCGAATCCTAGGCATAAGCCAAGGGGCTGGGAGCGTGTGTATGTATGTATGTATGTATGTACGTATGTATGTATGTATGTATGTATGTATGTATGTATGTATGTGTGTCTATACGCATATTCCTCTCGGAAGAACAAAAACCTTACCGTTTTCAATCCATTCCTTCCTGTGAACCTTGATTCGTTTTGTATTGTCGCCTGGAAGTGCAACTCCAGCAAGTGGTTGTATGCTTGCAGGTCGCCTGGCTGCCAGCATTTTCGTCTTAGTCAGCTCCTGATTCTGCAGGTTCTGCACGGTTCTAGAAGCACAACCCGCACATCCCCGACGGGTCCCACAAGCACACGCCCACGAAATAGGGCCGGCCGACGGTCCACTCCATCGTTGGACGTGCGCTGCTCGCCCGCAAGCTTTTGGAGCAAGCCTGCTGCGGAGCCTCCAGAATCAGGGCAAAATGGTAGCTTACATGTCTTCGACAACATGTTTGACGCGCATCAGAGTGAGCTTCAAAACAAAATTCTGCGAGACGCGCATCTTCGTGAAATAGGAGCTCAAGCTGAGTCTTGGTGCCCATCGTTTCGGGTTCCTTGCTGCACCGGCCTGGGTCAGCGGCCAGCGTCTCGCTGACCTGATCACCTGGGCATGTCCAACAGATGAAAGTACAAGAAAATGGCCGATTGATCTGAGATCTGTGGTGATGCTGTCGTGCTACGTAAGAGGCTTGTCTGCACCTTGGCCTGGCAAGCAGCTGAGATCACGACCGCGCTTGCCCCCTCCAACCAGGGCGGAAGCAAAGAGCTGGACCTCCTGCAGGTCCTGACACCGATTTGGCATTTCTAACTGTTCTGATATCCCCCCCCCTCCAAGAGCGCGGCATGCAGAAGCCAAACCCCTAAATCCAATGCCACGAAATCCTGCCACGTTCATTGGCCAACTCGGTCCTGCGGCTCGGGCTCCAGGAAGCCGAATGATTTCGACTGGGAAAGTCGAAGGGTAACATGCCACGGCTGAGATATGTGGGTTCTGGGTTTTCAGCTGCGCGACAGGCACTGCTTCATGGCATCGCTGGCTGAGGTGGTTTTTGGGCGTAGAGCAATGCCCAAAGGCGAACCCATGCAGACCGCGGCCTAACCCAGTTCAAACAAGATGCAACAACTCGCTATCTCCCCTACTTAAGGCCCTGATAGGCCCTGCTTTCCCTGCCTGTACGGCAGGTGGAGCAGCTGCCGGGCTGGGACTTGGTTCAGGATCGAGACTCGAGAACGGAGCGCCGGAGACTGGGGGAGCACTGGAGGAGCCTAGGGGACACAAGCGGGTTTACCTCCAGCAACTTTGCACTTGACCAGTAGGCAAAGCCTGCCAAGCCGCTCCAGGCGGGTGTGCTGCTCCTCTCATGCGACTCATCACTTGTCCAGTTCAGGAATATGCCGGGCCACACCGCCTCTACGCGTCTAAAGCCACCCACATCCCATGATGCCGGATTGTCTTCACAAAGGAACCACGACTCTTTGCCAGTCGTCTAAAGCACATTGTCCTGCGTGCTCTGGATCGCACGAATTAAGCCTTAAGCTTTCTTCAACAGCCATGCACAAGCTCGGTGCACATGAGCTTGATGATTCCGGCCTTTCACTGCTGTCTCTTGCGCTGAAAAACAGCATGGGGCAGGGCACAACTCCTGGACGCATGGCCCTGTCCTCCTCGTTTCGAAGGGCGCGCACTTGCAGCGTGGCTGTCAGGAGCCAGGCTCTGAAGAGGCTCCACCTTTGTCGAAAGCGTCAGGCTTCAACACTTCGCTTAGTGCCTTCCCGATATCCCCAAAGTCCCTCTTCTCTCCTCCTCTACCACACCTACCGCCTACACTTCACACTTCCTGCGGCCTTCCAGCACTCCGCCTCCCGCTCCCGCTGCTCGGTCTGTCTCTCGCACTGAGAAAGGGTTCCAACAGGCTTCCGAGCCCGCCACATGGCCAGGCATGAAACTGGACGATGAAGGTGGACAAAACCTCAGACGGTGAATTTAGGACTGGCGTGCAGCCTCTGTGACAAGTAACCGAAAGAACTCCCACGCAACCTCTCGCTGTCGTGCAGTAGCCATGGCAATTCTCCCGGAAAACCGGCATGCTGAGCTCATGGCTGTTTCTCAGGCTACAGCATCTGGAGATGAAATTTAGAACAGGAAGCTCATCTCCCCTGCTTGGGCCACAAGGCCTGCGGTGCGCAAACGACGGCGCCAGGACTGGTACAACACTTGGGGATGTATGTAAACTCCAAGCCGTTTCAAAGGCCGCTCCTCCAAAACGATGTCTGCCTCGGCGCTAATCTCGGGAGCAGAGGGACGATGCTCAGAAGCAGATATAGATAGACTTTTCACAGCTGTTAATAGGCGCATGCAAGCCCTAAGCCATCCTAGATGTGGCTTCGGAATCATCCCACGCTTCCAGTTTCCAGGCCTACCCTACACGTCTGCACAAGGCTATCGCAAGACAAGTGGCGGACTTCACCCGCACTTCTTGCGAAAAACGCAAGGTGAGACTGCATTATCAGGCGGCATGGTGTCTGCTTCTAGATTGCGCTTTCCTAGGGGTGAAGAACGCAATGTCATAGGAGCCGACACCGCTAGCCGCAGAGACAAGAGCGCCGCCACAACAGAGAAGACACGATTCCAAAAAGATACTCGAATCATTGGCTGCAGAGCCGCAGAGCCCCCGATTGACACTACATGCCATCAATGTGAGGTCGCTCCCTTCAAATTAATGGGCTGTTGAGACGAGCGTTGAAGTGGCTAAGGCATTCTCGACTTCATCACTAACATAGCAAAATCAGATCAGTAGCGGATCTTTCGCCCTGGCCAGTGGCTTAGGGTGGCGGTGCCGGGCCCAAGCCACCAGATGCAGCTCAAAGAAGCATCACCACCCCACATACGGCTCGGAACCCCGGGCACAAGGTGGAAGTCATGGCCATACAGTCCAAAAGCTCTGTTTCTTAATTTGCATACGGCAAATCACACAAAATACATCCGCATGCCAAACCTCGTTATCATGGAAGCCATTCCGGCATCGAACGTGACATTCTGCCACCTTATCGCTAACAGTTACTAACACAACAACATTTCTGACTTGTTGAAGGGAGCACTGATCGAGACGATTCCTGAAAGCGCTCAGCAACAGCCACAATCCAAACTCAGGCAAATTGAAAGTCAAAAGAGCGCACCTGGCTTTCGGGTTCCAAGGCCTCGACAGGGAAAGCAAAGGAGAGTTGCACAATGTCTGCGCTGACTCTCACTGACTATCACTATCACGGACTGCACATGCTGCCAGAAGTCCAGAAACGCCGAGAGTCACATGGAGAAGAGATGAGAAAGAAGAGCAAGGCGGTAGTAAACCCGACATGCAAACCAGCACAATGGCCAAGCAGCACATGTAGCCCAGTGAATCAATTGGCGGAGAGTGTCGGGCGACCTGGAGCCAGAAAGGATGTGTCGGGCTCTGAGTACAGAAGCATGGGCATTTGGCGACATCGTCAGCTAAACATTTTGTTGTTGATTGAGCATACTGATTTTGGTCAACTGAGGCCGCTAATGCACCCCAATCAAACTGATACTCAGACATTGAACAGCTCCCAAGTACTTGCAACGACACTTGCCACAACTCGTCGTTCACAGAG